GTGCAGACCCATAGGTTGAGCATGGCCAGGGACCCATAATGTTGGGCACGGTCAGCTGGCAGTGTCCACAGCCCTGGGTGGGTGGGGGGATTTGCCTTTGGGGTGGTGTGGAAGCGGCCATGAGAGCTGGCAGGGGTGGGTGGGTAGGCCGGGCCTCCAGGGGCAGATTCAGCCATTAGGGAGGGTCCTAAAGGAGGCGATGTGAAGGAGCTGGAGGCTGGCCAGCAGTGGCAGGTAACTTTCCTAATAGCTGCGTATGTGAATGGCAGTAAAGACGTCTCTATTGCCACAGTGTGTCTGGAGTGTTTTTCCCCGGTACCAGTAAGAATGGGGGCTTCCCCACCCCCTAGCGTGGTCCAGGCTCCCGCGTTACGAGTGCCTGTGGTGCGGCTGCCTGCCCCAGCCGGGAGCACAATCCGTGAAAAGCCAGGGGTGATCTGGGCACCGGACCCGGAATCCTTTCGTCACTTCTTGACAAAACGCCCACCCCTGTTCTCAGTCACCGTCTGCCATATCACGTACTATAAGACGATGATTCAAACTAGTTTCTCAGCAGGACATTCTGATGTTCTGTGGGACTGTGGCGAATCCCCTCGCAAAGTCCTAATGGCTTCACTTAACACAAAGGTGCCAAGCCCCTTTCTGTTTTCCACTCAAGGCTTTTCTTAGAATTACAGAGTTGGAAGGGGCCGTATGGACCATCTAGTCCAGGCCCCCTGCTCAATGTAGGGTCAGCCTAGAGCAGTGGTGGCGAACCTACGGCACGGGTGCCAGAGGCGGCACTCAGAGCCCTCTCTGTGGGCACGCGTGCCATCGCCCCAGCCAGGCCCAGACCATCATTAAAGTGTCGAATTCTCTGCCAAATAATTTTATTCGCCATCACTGGCCTAGAGCATCCCTGACGAGTGTTTGTCCAGCCGCTGCTTGAAGACTGCCAGGGAGGGGGAGCTCACCACCTCCCCAGGCAGCTGATTCTACTGATGCACAACTCTGACTGTAAAAAAAGTTTTCCCTAATATCCAGCCGGTACCTTCCCGCCCTTAACCTAAACCCATTCTTGCGAGTCCTCTCCTCTGCTGCCAACAGGAACCGCTCCCTGCCCTCCTCCAGGTGGCAGCCCTTCGAATACTTCAAGAGAGCCATCATGCCCCCCCCTCCACCTCCTTTTCTCCAGACTAAGCATTCCCAGGTCCCTCCGCCTTTCCTCACAGGGCTTGGTCTCCAGGCCCCCGATCATCCTTGTCGCTCTCCTCTGCACCGGCTCCATTCTGTCCACATCCTTTCTGAAGTGAGGCCTCCAGAACTGCACACAGGACTTCAGGTGCGGCCTGACCAATGCAGTGGGACTATGACATCTTGTGATTTGGATGTTATGCCTCTGTTGATACACCCCAAGATCACATTAGCCTTCCTATTGGGAATCGTTTCTGAAAAGCTGTTTTTGGGTACAGCAGCTGCCCCAGTGCCATTTCCTCTTCATACAGAGGACAGTGTGCGTTAGACAGAACTCTGCTTCCTTCATGACAGAAAAACTTGCAGAAGTTCTTGCATGCAGTCTCCACATCTGTGCCTATTTCCATAACTACCTGGAGTGAAGAATCACTAGAACTGGCAGCTGTTTTTACTTCTCCGATTATGATGTTCCCTCTAAGCTGTGGAGCCTCGTGAGCAAAAACTCTACTTTGTGAGCTCCTGGCATTAAAGCTGTGAGCCAGCCATTTGGCTCCTGCATTAAGAACATAAGAACATAAGAGAAGCCAATGTTGGATCAGGCCAGTGGCCCATCCAGTCCAACGCTTTGTATCACACAGTGGCCAGAAATACCAGGTGCCATCAGGAGGTCCACCAGTGGGGCCAGGACATTAGAAGCCCTCCCACTGTTGACCCCCCCCCAAGCACCAAGAAGACAGAGCATCACTTGCCCCAGAGCCCCTATCTACACCTTGTGGCTAATAGCCATTGATGGACCTCTGCTCCTTATGTTTATCCAATTCCCTCTTGAAGCCGTCCATGCTTGTAGCCGCCACCACTTCCTGTGGCAGTGAATTCCAAGTGTTAATCACTCTTTGGGTGAAGAAGGACTTCCTTTTATCCGTTCTAACCCGACCGCTCAGCAATTTCATGGAGTGCCCACGAGTTCTTGCATTGTGAGAAAGGGAGAAAAGCACCTCTTTCTCTACCTGCTCTTTCCCATGCATAGTCTTGTAAACCTCATGTAAACCTCAATCGTGTCATTAATTAGTTTGCTCTGGAGCCCTCCTTCCTGAGCTGAGACAGAAATGTGTGAGCTGGAGGATAGAAATCTGTGAGCTAGCTCACTCTAACTCAGCTTAGAGGGAACACTGTGTTTTGGTTTGGTTTTTTTGCCATCGTCACAACCGAGTCATCGTGACACCAAAACCGTGGTGTTTTCAAGATAAGAGACGTTCAGAGGTGTTGTGCCATTGCCTGCCCCCGCACGCCAACCCTGAGCTTCCGTGGCGGTCTCCTGTCCTAATACTGAGCAGGGCTCCCGTGGGCCATCCTAAACTTTAAAACATAAAAACGCCACTCATGTAAGTACAGTCCCTGTTGGATCACAGGCAGCTATTGCTTTCCCATATCTGAGCACACTGGGCCATGCCGAGCAGTCTCTTGCCCTGGTATCACTTCATGGATGCTTTTGGGTTCCTTGAGCAAGACCGGCAGCTTCCAGTATGATCTCTCTTCCTCCCCGCCTGAAAGTGGGACTCACTCCGGCAAGATGTATCCAGCCAATATTATGCTGTGCTGAGGTTTTTGTAATAATAATAATAATAATAATAATAATAATGATAATAATAATAATACTTTCCATTTATTAATCGCTTTCCCCAGTGGGCTCAAAGCAATGTACAGTTACACATTTTAGACAGGGGACTAACAATGTTCGTAGGGGATAGGGAAGACAACATATATTCATTTAATTGCACATGCTGTCACTGCCCTGTGTAAACGCCTTCTGGCTTGGCTCAGTCATTTTCCGAACGGCTGCTTGTCGACCAGGCTTCAGGACCTGTAGGTCAATCGCCACACTGCCACTGCCTGGCTGGAAACATCCACTTCAGGGATTTTTGTAGCTGAGAAGTTCTTCCATTTTTTCCGAAACTCGACCAGGATGTCCCGACCGTCAGCTAACACCCTCCCACAAGGGAGATTGGTGTGCCCACCCTCTCTAAGGAGTGGTTCCCATTTTATCTACTCGCCGAAGCTTTCGAATCGCTGGGTGGACGATGAGCTGGGGACAACAGGCTGGCTGCTCACACCAGCGTGGGGCTCGAACTAATACCGTTCGGATGTTAAGACAGTGGGATATGTGCCACTGCTCCCCTGATGGGGCTGGAGTTACTCTGACCCAGGTTTCTTTTGCGCTCAAGACTGAACCATGAACAGCTCTGGTTAGGACTGCCAGGTCCCCACCGGTGGAGGATGGGGGGGGGGAAGAGTTGCCAGATCGGGGTTGGGAAACTTGCCTGGAGGATCTGGGGATGGAACTGGGGGAGGACAGGGACCTCAGAGCAGCACAGTGACATGGAGCCCACCCTCCGAAGCATCCATTTTTCTCCAGGGGAACTGATCTCCGTAGTCTGGAGATGAGCTGTAATTCCGGGGGATCCCCAAGTCCCACCTGGAGGCTGGTATCCCTAGCTCTGCTTTCTCGATTTATTTATTCCGAAAATCTGTTTGTTGCCTGTCCAAAAATCTTCTTGAGGTGGCTTGCAAGTATAAAGCAATTCAACGTAAAAACAGTAAATGACAATTATTAACATGAAAGCCGATGATAAAACAAGCCGAGCCTGCCAGGGGCATAAAAACAAGGCAAAAATAGGGACCACGGTGGAACAATTCAGACAAAGGAAAACACCACGTACAGAATCCAAAAAGGAAAGGAAACAATTTGATAAACTATAAAGAATTTATATAATATATATTATTTGTGTAATAATCATAATAATGAACAATAAAAGTAGTCCAAATGTATACAATGTGAAAAGTGAATTCACAAAATCTGATGCACCAGTGCAGGGATTCTCTTTTCTATATGCCCTGCTACTGCAAAAGGAATGATCCGAAAGTATTCTTCCAGAAGTTGCTACTTGTGAGAAAAGCAATCCACAAGCCTGTCCTTACAGGAGAAGCGATTCGACGGCTCCCCGGATGTACAAGCCATTTCCAGCTTTTCTTTCTCAAGAATCGCTTTAACAATTCCTTGCATAAATTATTTTCTGGAACCAATCTCCATCCTTATAACAAACATGTGTACTTTCCCCATGGGATTAAAGTTCTTCACCGTAAAAACAATAAATGACCATTATTAACACTAAAGCCGATAATAAAACAAGCCGAGCCTGCCAGGGGCATAAAAACAGCATAAAAATAATATTCAGCAACCTAAAATAGTATCTGTGGAACGGGTTAGAAGATGGCTGTGAAAAACGCAATTAAAACAAAGGAGCCCTTCATTTAAAAGCCGGGGAAAAGATAAAACATTTTAGATTGGCCTCTGAGGGAGAGTAGGGTAGGTGCCGGGCAAACCTCTCAGGCGGCAGGGCCGGACAAAGGCGAGGGCACCAGTACTGACAGGAAGCGAACAGTCATATAAACGGGGCAGAATTAATACTGAGACATAAAAATGGCACAGGGCAAAACCTGTACTGGAAGAAACCAGCGAGAGTACATGCCTGACTGAATTCCTACGACCATTTCAGCCTGCCGGACCCCCCATGAGGTCAGATTCCAGCCCAAAGCAGCCTCTCTGCAGCTCTTGCTTTTGTTCCAAATGCCCTGGCCCAGTCCTGAGCAATGCTCCCTCTAAGCCATGGAGTCTTGTGAGCAAAAATTCTGCTTTGTGAGCTACTGGCATTAAAGCTGTGAGCAAGCCAGTTGGCTACTGCATATATTAGTTTGCTCTGGAGCCCTCCTTTCCTGAGCCCACACAAAAATGTGTGAGCCAGAGGCTAAAGAATGGTGAGCTAGCTCACACCAACTCAGCTTAGAGGGAACACTGAGACTTGGAGGGTCCTTGGGGAAATGTCGGCCATGAGGCCTCGGGCCTGTGCCTGAGGGAAAGGCTACTTCGAGGCCACTCCTCAGCCTCAGGCCTGTTTGCTTATTAATTAAAACATTTATAGCCCGCCTTTCCTCGTGGCCCAAGGCAGCTGATGATAATAGTTAAGAACATCATCCGTTTAAAAGCAAAAATAAAGCAACAGACCCCAGATCTCTGCCGCCGCCCCCCCAAGAGGCCTGCCAATTCAATCTCCCTCAAAAGCCCTGAAGATTTCCAAGAATTTCACCTCTTCAGGGAGCGCACTCCACAGAGCCAGAGCCATGGCAGAAAAGGCCCCGGGCTCCGGTGCTTGAAAGGCCACCCTCAGTGGTGGGGTAGCCGATAGCTGCCTGACCGCCATAGTTGGCGCACAGGGACAGACGGAAGGAGGTGGCCCTTCAAATAGGACTGCGGGGATCATAAGACCACCAAACTCTGTGTTGCCTCCGCCTGGTCAAACCCCTTGTACAAGAATGGAATGTGAGCCGCCGGGTGACAATGATTTAAGGCCGCTTGACTCCAGGGAGGCCATCTTACGAGGCATCTCATGACTGATTCCTTTGGAGCAGCTGGAGCGACACCTTTCCCTCAGAGAGACCTCCTCATTACCTCCTCAGCCCCATTCAGACCAACCCAGCTGGCCGGGGGCAAACTGCCTTTTCCTCCTCATCTTGAACAGGCGGCGGCACCTCTGGCAGGTCTTCCTCCCCATCAGCAAGCGCTTGAAGCCACCTCCTCCTTCCATATGAGTATTGACGGGGAGGGGGCTTTCTCCAATACGCTATTCCCCGAACTGAGAATTAGCGGTGCTTTCAGAGCCAGGCTGTCTCGTGCAAGAGCCCCGGGGCCTTGTCAGGGGTTGGAGCAGGCAGTGCAAGAAATAACGAATTACTCAGAGAAGCACCTGCAAAATCCTAGTAAGTATATGGGAAAACAAGAGCTTGATGGTACAGGGGGTTAAGTGGCAAAACGTGGCCAAGTCGCAGCCGACTTGTAGGGTTTTCAGAGCAAGAGATGGACAGAGGTGGTGTACCTAGCAACCCTCTACCTAGCAACCCTGGACTTCCTTTGGTGGTTTCCCATCCAAGGGCTGACCTGGGCCGACCCTGCTTTGCTCCTGAGATCTGATGGGATCAGGCTAGCCTGGGCCGGCCAGCTCAGGGCAGACAAACAGAGGTGGGTTTGCCACCGCCTGCCTCTGTGTAGGGACCCTGGACTACCCTGGTGGCCTCCCCTCCAGGACTAACCTGGACTGACCCTGCTTAGCTTCCGAGATCTGCTGATCGGCCTGGGCCGGCCAGGTCAGGGCTACAGGTGGCTAGGGAAGGGTGAATTTTTCAGTCTCGCAGAAAGAAGGTGTGAGTTCTAATCAGAGACTTACAGTGAGAATCAAAGAAAGATGTTAGAAAGAGTCCCCCCCTGAAGAGGCCAGCGGGAGCAATGGTCCAGCTACAAAAAGAGTGTGCAGGAAGGTACGGATGCACACACACACACACAGCTTAATGTGGTAGTCACATGTCAAGGTATCTGCTAAAATTAGGAGCAAAAGCAACTGTGAAGTTGACTTGTCAGACAGGAAGTTGTTTAGGGCTCCATTGGCATCTCCCAAAGTAGGTCAATAAGAGGAAACGATCAAAGACTGAGAGGCGGTGACGGAATGGAGTCAGTGAAGGCCTATTTGGAGGGGAGCAGAGGAGAAGAAAAACCAAAAGTAGCAGAAAGACCCAAGTCGCATAAATGAATACTGCTGCATTTGTGTTTTATTTCCAGGTAACTCACAAAATCATAGACTTGGGATATGCCAAAGATCTGGATCAAGGCACCCTGTGCACGTCTTTTGTTGGGACTTTACAATATTTGGTAAGATTTCTTTAAAAGCTTGCGTATTTGGATAGAAGCTGCCACAAGCTTTTACTTCCACACAGAATGCCTACTTTTGGCTGAAAACAACTCCCTCCTGCGATTTCTTGCTTTTACGCATGTTATGGCTGTTTTTGTTTAAGGCCCCAGAACTCTTTGACAATAAGCCCT